TCCTTGTGACGTCCCCAACAGACGTCCCTGTGAGCAAGGCAGGACGGGACGCCCGGGTGCTCCCAGGCGAAGGGAAATACCTCCCCAACCCCCCGAGAGGGCACCGAAAGGTGGGTGGAAACTGGTCCCCTCCGGTGCTATTTGCCATGCCCTACTCCAGTGCCAGCTGCACAGGAGACAGTGCTGGGGACACAGCCGGCCCTGCACTGTGTCCCTGTGTCCTGTTGGGCACAGTCACGCTCCCGCCCCAGGCTGGGCAGAGTCAAACGGGTCCAAGTGCTTTAAATCATCCAGCACCATGCAAAACCAGATTGGTGGCATCTGTCCCTGCTGCAACCTTGTGACCCACATGTCCCCTGCAGCACCATGGGGACGATCGGGGACACAGCCCGGCCCTGCCTTTGTCCCTGTGTCCCTGTTGGGCACAGTCACGCTCCCGCCCCAGGCTGGGCAGAGTCAAACGGGTCCAAGTGCTTTAAATCATCCAGCACCATGCAAAACCAGATTGGTGGCATCTGTCCCTGCTGCAACCTTGTGACCCACATGTCCCCTGCAGCACCATGGGGACGATCACCTCCACCCAAGAGGCCTGATTCAGCTGGGAAGGGACTGCCAGGGGCAGCCCAGACCCTGCTGAGCATTTCCTTGCGGTGCTGGGGACACCAGAAAGGGCTCGGTCCTGCTGCCTGGTGTGGGGACGCTCAGCGCGAGGAGCTCTGTCCCCACCCTGGAGTGACATTTCTCCCCGTCACCCAGCTTTTGGGGACCCTGGACCACGATGCTGTCCAGGCCAGCACACTGGGGCCGCCGGCAGCGCGAGCGGTACCTTTCATGGTCGGGGTGGTGCGGGAGACCTTCTTTCTCTGCCTGGGCGACATGGCCAGACCCGACTGCAAAGGAAGCGAAGGCGAGTCACCGGTGGGACATGGCGCTGGGGCAAGGCAGCTCCTGGGGTGGGGGTCACCCTGCGGCATGCTGGGCCCAAAGGACCCCGCCAGGCTTTGCCCTCCAGCCGCCCAGCACCGTGGGGGCAATTTGGCCATGCCATCTCCCCAGGCAGGACCCCGCTCCTTCCCAGTCCCCAGCATGGCACCTACCTTCAGCAGGGGGTTGGGGAGCCGGTCCTCATCGATCTCTGTGGGGCAGCATGGAGGGGGGACAGAGAGGAGCAAGAGGTTAATGGGGGGCTGGTCCCACACCACAGAATCACAAAATCACAGAATGGTTGAGGTTGGAAGGGACCTCTGGAGATCAACTCGTCCAACCCCACTGCTCAAGCAGGGTCACTATAGCAGGTTGGCCAGGACTGCGTCCAGACAGCTTTTGAATAGCTCCAAGGATGGATACTCCACAACCTCTCTGGGCAACCTCTTCCAGGGCTCTGCAACTCTCAGAGTAAAAAAGTTCTTCCTTATGTCCAGATGGAGCTTCCTGTGTTTCAGTTTATGCCCGTTGCCTCTTGTCCTGTCGCTGGACACCACGGAGAAGAGTCTGGCCTCATCCTCTTGACACCCTCCCTTCACATACTTGTACACATTGATCAGATCCCCCCTCACTCTTCTCTTCTCCAGGATGAACAGACCCAGCTCTCTCAGCCTTTCCTCAGATGAGAGATGCGCCAGTCCCTTAACCATCTTAGTAGCCCTCCGCTGGACTCACGCTAGGAGCTCTATGTCTCAGCAGACACTTCTGCTCCCAGAAGTGGACACAGTGCTCCAGAGGTGGCCTCACCGGGGCTGAGGAGAGGGGCAGGATCACCTCCCTCCACCTGCTGGTGATGCTCTTCCTAATGCAGCCCAGGAGACCATTGGCCTTCTTGGCCACAAGGGCGCATTGCTGGCTCATGGTCCACTTGTCCCCCAGGACTCCCAGGTCTTTCTCTGCAGAGCTGCTTTCCAGCAGGTCAGCCCCCAGCCTGTACTCATGCATGGGGTTCTTCCCTAGGTGCAGGACTCTGCACTTGCCTTTGTTGAATTTCATGAGGTTCCTCTCCGCCCAGCTCTCCAGCCTGTCGAGGACCCTCTGAACGGCAGCACAGCCCTCTGGTGTGTCAGCCACTCCTCCCAGTTTTGTGTCATCAGCAAACTTGCAGAGGGTGCACTCTGTCCCTTCCTCCAGGTCACTGATGAATAAGTTGAACAACATTGGACCCAGTGTTGACCCCTGGGGGACACCGCAAGCTCCAGGCCTCCAGCTAGACTTTGCGCCACTGACCACAACCCTCTGAGCTCTGCCATTCAGCCAGGTCTCAGTCCACCTCACTGTCCACTCATCTAGCCCGCGTTTCCTGAGCTTGCCTATGAGGATGTTACGGGAGACAGTGTCGAAAGCCTTACCGAAATGAAGGTAGACAATGTCCACTGCTCCCCTCTCATCTACCCAGCCAGTCATTTCATCATAGAAGGCTATCAGGTTGGTTAAACGTTATTTCCGCTTGGTGAATCCATGCTGACTACTCCTGATCACCTTCTTATCCTTCATATGCTTGGTAATGGTATCCAGAATTAGTTGTTCCATCACCTTTCCAGTAATCAAGGTGAGGCTGACAGGCCTATAGTTCCCTGGGTCCTCCTTCTTACCCTTTTGGAAGGCTGGAGTGACACTGGCTTTCTTCCAGTCCTCAAGCACCTCTGCTGATCTCCATGACTTTTCAGAGATGATGGAGAGTGGCCTAACAATCACGTCCGCCAGCACTCATGGGTGTATCCTGTCAGGGCCCATGGCCTTGTGCAGGTCCAGTTTGCTTAAGTGATTCCCTAACTCGAGCCTCCTCCACCAAGTCTTCCTTTCTCCAGACTTTCTCCCTGGTCTTCAGGGCCTGGGATTCCTGAGGGCTGGTCTTACCAGTAAACACTGAAGCAAAGAAGGCATTCAATACCTCTGCTTTTTCTGTGTCCTTTGTTAACAGGGCCCCTTCTCCATTCAGCGCTAGGCCCACATTTCCCCTAATCCGCCTTTGTTACTGACATATTGAAAGAAGCCCTTCTTGCTGGCCTCGACATCCCTTGACAGATTAAACTCCAGATGGGCCTTGGCCTTCCCAGCCCCATCCCTGCATACTCGAACAACATCCCTATATTCCTCCCAGGTTATCTGTCCCTGCTTCCACCTTCTGTACACTTCCTTCTTCCGTTTGAGTTTTGCCAGGAGCTCCTTTTTCCTCCATGCAGGAGGACTGTTCTCCTGACCCTTTGCCTGACTTCTTGCTCATTAGGATGGACTGTTCTTGAGCTTTGAGGAGGTGATCCTTGAATATCAACCAGCTTTCTTGGACCTCTTTTCCTTCTAGAGCCCTATCCCATGGGATTCTTCCAAGCAGGTCCCTGAAGAAGCCAAAGTCTGCTCTCCTGAAGCCTAGGGTTGTGATCCTGCTTTCACCCCTGCTCCCTCCTTGCAGGATTCTGAACTCCACCATCACATGGTCACTACGGCCAAGGTTGCCAAGGTTGCCCCAGGGCAGGGTGGGCGCAGTGGTGACTGTGATCCATCCCTGGCCAGCGCCCCAGCAATAACCTGGCCCTGCTAGATTTGTCTGCCACCCCGGGAGCTTGGCATCCCAGGGTCCCTCACAATATGGATGCCACCAAGACAAGGGAGTGGTACCTACTGGCACAATGCCTGGATAATGCCCAGCCCTATGAAGCTGCTTTATCTGCAGATGATGCAGCACTGGGGACCAGCTCCCTCCGCCACTCCAGGCCCAGCAGGTGACTCAGCCCTAACAGCTGCTGGCCTGAGGGTGTTCGCAGCCTGGATCTGGATAACGGGCTTGGGTTGAGCAGGCTTTCCAAGCACCCCTGCTCATGCATGGCTCCAGCCAGCTTCCTGGAGCCAGAATTCATCCATATTTCATTGTCCAGGAGGCCGTGGGCTCGTGGGGTTCTGCGGCGCATCACGGCTCATTGCCCAACAAAGTGCTAGGATCAATCACAGCAGCTCAGCCTGCGTGGTGCTGATGCACCTGGAAATAGCCCAGGCCCTTTTCCAGCCAGCATGGGGTGCTGAGCACCCTCTGCAACCTTGGGTTTCAGCAGCTGAGGCACAAGGCAAATGAAGTAGCTCCGCTGGGGAAGCATAGAGTATTTTTGAGCTCAAATCACAGAAAGCAGCAAGTTTTCATTGGAGGAAAGCTGACATGGCTGATGCTCTCTGGTCAGCCCTGGGACTCGGGGCAGAGATGTGATATATCCCATATTGTCCTGGCTGGGTCCTCGGGTGAGGAAAGGTCACATCGCTTCAAAACTCTTGGTCCTGTGTGAATCTCTGAAGCGCTGCTTTGCCTCGCTGCGTCTCGGAGCTGCACTCGCCTGGGGCTGTGATGCTTCAGGGACCTGCGTGCCAGCACTTGATTGATGCATTTATGTCTGAAGTATTGCTCCGGAAGGAGGCTCCATTTCTGGAGATGGCATTCGGGGACAGAGGGGACAAGGAACTGCCTGGCTTCGGGGGGTTGCTAATGTGCGAGTGCTTCACGAAAGGTCACTGCTCTGAAGCGGTCTGACGCGATTTGGCGAGGTCCCTATCCCCGTTCCCACTCCCATGCCCCACCCCAGTGCCTGCAAGGTGTCCCAAACCAACACAGAGACAAAATGAGGCAGCGGCAGGGACAACTCGTCTTTGAAAAAGGCAGTTTCTGACTCCCCCAGTCCCTGCCAGGGCTGACATCAGCTGCGAGCGAGGGAGAGGCGCGGAAAGGAGACGGACTGCGATGGAGAAGGGACATGACACATCAGCCAGCCAGGATCAGACCCCAGTCCCCCAAAGGCCACAAGCTTGGTTGTACTGGGCAGGCGCTGACACAGGAGCTCTCAAATGTCACAGCTGGTGTCCCCCCCTCTGTGGCAGAGGTGGCCCCAGAGCACAGGCGGAGGTTCAGTGCCCAGCCCTGGGGAGCTGCCAGGAGTCCCTGGAAGGGCCAAGGCACGGCTGCTCGGCATGTCACAGGCAGCTGCTTCCCCGGGAGATGGATGGGCTGCAAGGGGCCGCGGGGTTGTGATACCAGTGCCCATTCCTGGAAATGCAGCCCTGAGCAGAGATGGGGGAGCAGGGCAGGGCCAGGGACATGCTGGAGACACCCAACCCTGTGCGAGGCCAGTGCGGGCAAGCCACGGGGCTTTGCGTGCTGGAGTTCAACACATGGCACGAGGCTCTGCTCCTCCAATCAGTGCACTGGGGTCCCCGAGCACTGTGCACTGGAGTACAGAGTCCCTGAGCATCACGCGAGGGTGTCCCTGAGCATGACGGACTTGGTCCCTGAGCACCATAAATGGGTCCAGAGCACAATGCACTGCAGTCCTTGAGCACCTGCACTAGGATCCTTGAGCACCACGTACTGGGGGATCCCTAAGCACCACATCCTGGGGATCCTTGAGCACCTGCACTAGGATCCCCGAGTACCATGTCCTGGGGCTCCATGAGGACCATGTGCTGGGGGGTCCATGAGCACCACGTACCGCAGAAATCTTGAGGTCCGTGTACTGAGATGCCTGAACACAACATATGGGAGTCCCTGAGCATCAGGCACTGGGGGTCCCTGAGCACCACATACTGGAGGATCCCTGAGCTCCATGTCCTCGAGGATCCCTAAGCATCATGCACTAGGCACCTCGAGCACCATTTCCTGAGGTCTCTGAGCACTATATACTGGAGGATCCCTGAGCACAACACATTGGGGTCCCTGAGCACCTTGTCCTAGCGTACTTGGGCACCATGTACTGGGGATCCTCGAGCACCATGTACTGGGGGACCCCAAACATCATGTACTGAGGTCCCGGAGCACCACATCCTGGGATCCCTGAGCACCATGTGCTGGGGTCCCTGAGGACCACATACTGGAAGATCCCTGAGCACCATATCCTGGGGATCACTGAGCACCACGTACCGGAGATTGCTAAACACCACGTACCAAGCGCTGCTGACCACAGCCTACCCTGTTTTGGGTACCTGAGCACCACACGACAGCTGCATGCCTGACCAGCCATGTTCTTGCCACATGTTGGCTGCTTGCACTGCCTGTGCTGGGGTCCCCTCATGTCACCTAGCTCACCAGCACATCCTAAGGCACTCAGCACCCTTGTGACTGGGCCTCCATGGCTGGGTGACCCACGGGAGCCTGGCAGCTGCTTGCCCTCCTAGCGTGCCGAGGCAGCAAGGAGGCACCAGCTCGAGACAGACTCTGGGGTGGGCTGAGCTGGTGCTAGATCCCAACATGTCTTGGGGACGTGGTGACACATGGGAGGACCCACCTGGGGATGACTGGTCGCTGCTTAGAACTAAGTTGGCAGGAGTCGGTCGGCGTCGTCGGATCTAGAGAGATGGAAAAGAGTTGTGGTTCACAGCTGCCCTCTGAACCCCATCGCAAATCCATGCCCTTGGCCACCTGTGGGGCTCAGCCACCATCCGGGGGAGTCTGAGAACCAGCACTCGGCTTGTTTACTCCCCTTGCACTGGGTGCACAAGCCTGTGTTGAAAGCATGGGAAAACCATGGCTAATGGAAATGTGTTCCCGATCCTCGGCCATCCCAGCGCGCTCACGTTTTGCATGGATGCTGAGAAACCTCTTTAGAAATGGCTGCACGAAATGCTCAGCATGACGCGTGGTCGCAGTCACTTTCAAATACAAATTT